AAGCCGGATCCGTAACTTCGGGATAAGGATTGGCTCTAAGGGCTGGGTCGGTCGGGCTGGGGCGCGAAGCGGGGCTGGGCGCGCGCCGCGGCTGGACGAGGCGCCGCCGCCCTCCCCACGCCCGGGGCGCCCCCGCGGGGCCCTCCCCCGCCCCACCCCCGCGCGGCTCTCCGCCGTTCCTCGCTCCCCTCCCTCCCCTCCGTCTCCCCTCTCGCGGGGGCGGCGGGGGTCGCGGGCGCCGTGGGCGGCGGGGCGGCGGGGGCGGCATGGCCCTGCTGCTGTGCCTGGGCCTGACGGCGGCGCTGGCCCGCGGCTGCCTGCATTGCCACAGCAACTTCTCGGAGAAGTTCTCTTTCTACCGCGACCACGTGAACCTCAAGTCATGGTGGGTGGGCGACATCCCCGTGTCGGGCTCGCTGCTCGCAGACTGGAGCCAGGACACGATGAAGGAGCTGCACCTGGCCATCCCCGCGGAGATCAGTGAGTGCCGAGCCCCGCCCGGTGCCCCCGGCCCGGCCAGACCCCGGCCCGGGCCGCTCACCCGCCTCCTCCTCCCGCCCCCAGCCCGGGACAAGCTGGACCAGGTGGCGAACGCCGTGTACCGGAAGATGGATCTGCTGTACCAGGGGAAGATGTATTTCCCGGGTAAGGGGGAAACTGAGGCAGGGCCGGCCGCCCCAGGACCCCTCCCTTCACCCAGCGTCCGAGCCTGACCTCCCTCCTCCTGTTTCCCCCATCAGGGTATTTCCCCAACGAGCTGCGAGCCATCTTCCGAGAGCAGGTGCACCTTATCCAGAACGCCATCATCGAAAGTGAGCAAATGAGGGCCCGGGGACCCAGGGCCACGGGAGGATTTCAGAGGCCCTTTCGAGGCTGGGGCCCCGGGCCAGGGCGTGGCGAGGCTGAAGTGATGTGAATAGGGCGTTAGAGCCTGCAGCCGGCTGGGGACAGAAAGCGGGGAGCAGGGCAGCTCCCCGAGCGAGGAGCACTTTCCTCCCGTGGGCGCCAGCGGGGCGCCTTGAAGGGTAAATCCCACCTCTCCCTGCCACCTCCCTGGGAGCCGCCCTCCCTGATGGTTTGCTCCATCTCAGGACGCATGGGCCCCGAGCCTTGGGCAGGCCCGGGAGGGCGGGCTGGAGCGGGGATAGGCTGGGCCTGCCGAGAAGGCGACGTCTGTGCTCTCGTCCCCGCACAGGCCGCATCGATTGTCAGCGTCACTGTGGTGAGCGAGCCTCTATCCAGGCCGTAGGGCGCGGTGGCGGTGGCGGTGTGGGGCCCGGAGGCCGAGGGGAGCCCGCAGCGGCCTCTGCTGTGTTGCAGGCATCTCCCAGTACGAGACCATTTCCTGCCTCAACTGCAAGGACTCGCATGTCGTCTGCTTCGGTTACAACTGCGAGTAGGGCTCCAGGCGGGCGGCTGAGGGCCCCGCTGTCTGTGCGGTCCGAGGCTCTCCCCCGAGGGGCCCCTTCTCGGCCTCCCCCCAGCCTTCCATCACCTGGGAAGGGTGGGGTGGAAACCCTCCCAGCTGGCCCCCTGAATTGGGGGCCACGCCACCTCCACGCCCCGTGTCCCCGCAGGTCGTCGGCGCAGTGGGAGAGGGCTGTGCAGGGTCTTCTCCATTACATGTGAGTCGGGCAGCTGGGCTCAGGGAAGGGACCCCGACCGAGGCCACTTGGCCTCTGACTCCAAACCCGCTGTCCTGTTGTTGTAGAAATCAGTGGCACAGGTAAGCCCCCCTCCCCAAACCCCACTTGTTTATCAGAGGCAGTACGTGCACCCTTGGGTGAGTATGTGTGGGGCCGGCCACAGGAGGTGGCGCCTGGCCCCAGTGCTCTGGGCCCCAGTCCCTTGAGGGTCTCTGAGCTCAGCTGGCACAAGAGGGGGTGGATCATTTTGGTTAAAGGGTCCCATTGAGTCTGGTCCTACCCCTGCCCCAAGCGGGTGGCAGGGCTGTGATCAGAGCCGGGGAGGGCAGGCCCCCCATGACAGATGTGCACCCCTGTGGAGGGGCCTGGGGCCACAGGCACAGCCTCGGCCCCAAAGCTCGGGGCTAACTGGGGCCCCGTCATGTCTTTCAGACAGGACACCAACACAAGGTAAGGCCCCCTGGCCTATCCCCTCCAAAGCCCTGGCCTGGCCTTCTGGAGGGGAGGGGAGGGGAGAGAGGAAAGGGGTACTGTGGGGTCCCTCAGGTCAAGGGGGTGGCTGGGGGGGTTTGAACAGGGCTCTTTCTGCACTTGAGACATGCCGATGTCACCTCTGCAACCACACCCTGTGATTGATTCATGAATAAACATGCACTCCTCTCCCCCTTGCTGCCGGATGCACAGGACCACTCCAGCCTTGTGAGTGACCCAGAGGGACCCTGGTGGGCTGTGGGGGCAGGGATGCACCTAAGCCAGAGGTTGAAACACAATGGCCACTTTGCCGCAGGCCCCCCCACGCCCTTTTGGCGCCCCAGTAGTGGGATGTTGATGTGACAGAACCTAGTGCATCTTGGGGACACAGAACAGGCAGGGCCTCCGAGCTCAGTCCGTCCCATGCGCCAGCTGAGAAGAGGCCCCCCAGTGAGGGGCAGCGGGGCGGGGAGAGGAAGGTCTGAGGGCGCCCTGTCTCCCCCCAGCCTGGTATCACCGAGCTTCACGTGTCTCGAGCCCCCGCACCTGGCCAACCTAACTCTGGAAAATGCTTCCCAGTGCCTGATGCAGCACTGATGGCCGCCAGGCCTGCCGGACCTGCCCCAGCGGCAACTGGGGCCTGGAGTCAGCTGGACTACCCCAGCCTGGCCCTGTGGAGGGGTCCCCTCGCCCCCACCAGAGCCGGGCCAGCCGGGAGGAGGGGAGGTGGATTTGTATATAGCGTCGACCCCGGGCAGGATCGCAGAGTTATTTGATGGAATGATTAAATTCCCCGATCTTTCTCATTACGGAGCGGTCTTTGTCAGGCAGGGAGAACGGTGAGGGGCTCAAGGGGCCTGGTCCTGGGCAGGACGGTGGGTCCAGGGATTCCCACCTCGATTTCACTGTGGTCCACCTCAGCCCACCTGGGCAGGCTCGCCAGAAACAAGCCTGCACAGCAAGTCCACGTGCGGCTGCAGTGAGATGGAGACCAGGGCCAGCAGTTGTGCGTCTTGGGTTTAGGCCCTGTTAGGCCGAGGGACACAGGAACCACGGTCCCTCCTGCCCCGCCTTTCTAAAACACTCCACGCAGAATGAAGGAGACAGGCCCGGGGCGGTGCGACCCATGGCTGGACCCGTGTTTGTCACAGGGAAGGGGGCCTGGGGACACCAGCAGAGCCAGGAGGCGACCTCGTGCCCATCAGGGCGGCTGCTAGCTGGGCAGTCCTCGGCTCAGGGCACTCGCTTGCTCTCGCATCCATGGGGGTCACAGGAGGACTCTCGAGAGCTGACGGACCCCCCAGCCCCGCATGCCTTGCTGCCGGGGTCCCGCGGCCAGCGCACGGGCACTGCTTTCATGGGCGTGCCTGTGTCTGGGTCGGGGAAACCCGCTAGGGTTTCAAACGGTGCGTGGTTACAGGGACATCCCAGGGAGACTGCAGAACGGTGGAGCCACGTGGGCCTCTGGAGCAGGCGCCCTCCGGGGGTCGCAGTGGGGGCAGGGTGGCCGATAACCAGGCTCAGGGGGTGCAGGGCTGGCACTCACTCCCCGAGGTCGCGCTGCTTCTGAGGTCCCCGAGCTTGCCCATCCAGCCGCCCCCCCAACCCCATGAGGGCCAGTGTGGGGTGTGGCCTGGATGCACGAGGTACCCGGCTTCCCACTGAGAGCAGGGAGGAGCCTCCTGGTGGGCGTTGGACAGGATGATTTTCTAGAAGGGACGCTGCTGGGAGGTGGGGGCTGCCTGAGGCCTCTCTCATCAGGGCGCCCCACCCGGGGTTAGCGTGGAGCCTGTCTGCCCCGGCTCCTCACCTCCCACGCTGTGGGAGTCCAGTGGAGGTGATCTGGGCTTTCTGTCTGCTGACCCAGCCTGACTGGTCTTCAACTGTCCCTTGTCCACGTGGCATCAGTAAAGCCAGTGGGAACGTGGTGAACTAACCCCCACAGGCAGGGCCTTCTTTCTAGCACTGGCTCCTGTGGCTCGCCCCACTCCCCTGCACTAGTGGGGTTCCCTGGGGAAGGGAGGGAGGGCGATGGCCACTGTGCCTCGTGGGTGGACCCCGCAGAGCCCCGTGGGTGGGGTTGGGCGGCTCCTCACCCTTACCACCCCAGCCCAAGGCCTGGACAGTGCGCGGGGATGACGTCACCTCCCAAGGGAACAAAGGGTACATGGGCAGGAGGGGACAGGGCTCCTCGAACACTGCAGCCTCCAGGAGGGCACCCTACAGCCCCCATCCGACTCTGAGCAACTCAGAGACCGCCCAGAGCCCCGGGTCATGTGACGACCCCTGGCTGGCTGGGGTGCGCACAGGCAGGAGACCAACGGGGAGACGTCTGTTTGCGAGTTTATTGGATCATCCTGACACAAATCATTACAGCAGCATGATATGTCTCTCTCCTGAATACGGGAATGTCGATAGCAAATAAATTCTTATATAACACATCATACAGTTTCGAGATTCTAGAATCACTGCACAGGATTCTGTAATAGATTACTCTACATGCTAACGTGACAGTTTCATCAAAAGGAAGAGTTAAAACATCATTGAGGCCCATCATCTGAGGAAAGTTCAGTCTCACAGGGGTGGCCGGGTCCCCTTGCCCTGCCCATGAGGCACATTTCAGGGGCCGGCCCGATGCACGTGCTTCGCGGTCAGGGCCCCGGAGTGCAGGACAGAGCCCTCGCAGCAGCCGCGGGGCAACCCTGTGGGGTGTTCAGTGACGAGAGGGGGACACCAGGAACCGCAGCCCTCCCTCACTCACCCCGACAGCGCCGACCCGGACACACTGTCCTGAACAGAACGTCCAGGCCCTGCTCAGTCAGGGGTCCTGACTGGATCCCCCCTAGGTTGCAGCCCCCCGCTTCGGCGTCCACCGCCCTTCTCCAGCCGGCACACGAACACGGCGGTGGGGCACAGAGAACACAGTGGACAACGGGCTGCACGACCCTTTCCCACTGCACGTCCTGGGGAGAGACCCGGACCCGCGGCTGTGAGCAGCCAGCCCGTTCTCCCCCAGATGCCACCGGGCAGGGTGTCTGGGGACTCGTGGGACTCGGATGACTTCACAGACGCAGGACGCACCACCCCACCCAGTCGCCTGAGCATCCCTCACCCTGGGCCCGCCAGGTCCTGGCCCAAGTCCCACCCGCTCCCCACCAGCCCGAGACCTCGTGCACAGTCGGCCCCCGGCTACAGGAGCTCCTGCTGGTTGGGAGACTGGAACGGGGCTTCTCACCAAAGACGGCGAGAAGAGTCAAAGTAAAAAAGATGACAGGATAAATCAACGCAACAGAAAAGCTTGACGAATAATGGTGGACGACAGTGGACTTAAATCAACGCCTGGGCCGGGTATAGTCCATGCGACAGAGAGAAACCTATCGCTTGGAGTTGGCTCTCCCTCACATGTCCTCCATGGCGGGGCCGAGGGTGGCACTCAGCACGTAGCCAGCGTGGCTCTCATTTCCTCCAACAAGTTGCTCAGCAGTGTTGCATCGTTGCATTTCCCATCCACCGACACTGACTTCTCACCCTGAAGAGGGAAAGCAACGGGCGGGGCGTCACACACGACGCAAAAATGCTGCCTCCCAGCTGCACGTACCATGCTTGTGGTTTTTCCAAATACTTCCGAAGCGCGGGTGCTTTGATGATCAAATGCAATGAGTGGTTCTGGGTAAGACGGAGCGAGCACGCTGTGCCCCGTGTTCCCCACAGGAAGAGCTACAAACCCGGGACCGAGGTGCAGAGCAGCTGCCTGAGGGACTAGGGACCAGGACCAGAACGGGAAGAAGCCGGAACTAGCACTCTGGAGGAGCTGGGCAGAGTGGGGTAACTGACGCCCTGCTTTGTGGCTGGGGAACCGTGGGAGGAGTGTCCAGAGCCCGGAAGGTCCTGGGAGGAGCTTGGAGAAAGTGACCTCGTAAAGCTGTTTATGAACCGCTGGGTTCACCTTGCACTGAGCACGCGTGGACCTCACCCTAATGAGCACACTCAACGAGTGGAGAATACAGACCACCGCCCGGGTCCCAGCCCCATGGGGGTGCACTCGAGAGGAGCTCTGAAGGGCAGGACAGAGGCTGTGAAAACAGACGGACGATGGAAGCACAGCCTCCAGAAGTCCTGCAGCCGGAAGCTACACGTCAACATTCCCCACAGGGTTTCAACAAGCCCCCGAGTCTCACTGTACTCAAACGTTCAGGATATAACCCAAAATCACGTGGCCTACAAGGACCAGGGAGATCTCAGCTAACATGGAAAAGACAAACCCACGCCCAGATGACGATGTCAGAAGTAGCTATCGCGAGAATGCTCCGACAAGCAATCATGAACTCTCTTGAAACAAACAGAAAAACAGAACATCTCAGCAAAGATACAGAAGATATGAAGAACCACCAAATGGAAATATTAGCCCTGAAAAATACAACCACCAAAATAAAAACCTCACTGGATGGGCTCAACAGCACAGTGGATATGACAGAAAAGAGTCAATGAACTTGACAGTAAGCTCATAGAAATAATCCAGTCTGAACAGATGGAAAAAAGGAGTCGGGGGCGGGCAGAGCCCCAGAGACTTGAGGAACGGTACCAAAAGGTCTCAGATTCATGTCACTGGGACCTCAGAAGGAGAGGATAAAGAATGCAGTGCTGAAAAAGTATGTAAATAATAGGCGAAAACTTCTCAAATTTTGCAAAGACATAAACACACAGATTCAAGAAGTTCAGCAGACCCCAGTTGATAAACCCAAAGAAGTCAACACCCAGATACATCAGAAACTGCTGGAAACTGAAGACAAAGAAAACTCTTGAAAACAGAGAAAAACGATGCATTCCCCACAAAAAGAATAACGGTGCAGATGAGTGCAGATTCCTCATCGGAAACCACGGACGCCGAGAGAAACGGCATATTTGTAAAGTACTGAGAGAAAAGACCATTGAAGCCAGATTCCAGGTCCAGCAAAAGCAGCCTCGAGGAAGAGTGAAACACAGAACAAGCAGAGGAAGGGAAACCGAGAGACTCCGCAGCCAAGAGACCTGCTCTATAGGAGCCGCTACAGGGAGTTGTCCAGACAGAAGGCGAGAACCGGAAGGCAACGTGCAGCAGTCGCGTGACCGAGCGGCAGGAGGGTGCCCGCGTGGCGAGCGCTGCGGGCTCCTCTCCTCAAGTCCCTGGAAAGCTGCCTGAGGGCTGAGAGCGGGAACCGGGAGGTGGCGGGACGGAGTCTTCGGCGTCCGTAAAGGCAACACACAGGACAAGAGCTCATACAGGGGGCGGGTGGAGGGAACTGAAGTGGTGAAACACCAGTTCCAAGAAGACTGAACAGCTAAGCGTGTGTACGTCACGCCACACACAGCTGCCAAGAGACAGCGTCAGACAGACAACAGACAGATACATGGGACAGCGATAATCCTCATATCGGCCACAGCAGGCAGGAGAACGGAAGAGCGGAAAGGAAAATAGAAGGAACAAACGGAAAACAAACAAAACGGGAGACTGAAACCCAGACAGATGAGTAACACTGTAAATGCAAATGGTCTCAACACACCAGTTAAAAGGCAGAGACATTGGTCGGACAAACTGGCGTCCACAAGGAACTCTTCCAAATACAACGGTAAAGACAGGTGCAAAGTGAAGGATACACTATGTAAACGCCAATCAAAAGAAAGCGGGAGGGGGCCAGGCCCGGGGCTTAGCAGTTGACTGTGCGCGCTCCGCTGCTGGCGGCCCGGGTTCGGAGCCCGGGCGCGCACTGACGCACCGCTTCTCCGGCCACGCTGAGGCCGCGTCCCACATACAGCAACTAGAAGGATGTGCAGCTATGACACACAACTATCTACTGGGGCTTTGGGGGAAAAATAAATAAATAACATTATTAAAAAAAGAAAAGAAAGAAAGAGGGAGTGGCTAGACTGGTATCAGACAAACGGACTTCAGAGCAAAGAAAATAATCAGGGTAAAGACAACATCACACACGTGAAAGAGGCTCCATTCGCCAAGAAGATCCCACGATCCTAACCGTGCACGTTTCCCTGGTGAATTCCACAGAACGTGTAAGGAAGCAATACACGAATTACACAGTCTCTTCCAGGAAATGCAAGAGAAGGCAACATCTCCCAGCTCATTCAACGAGGCCGTCAGTGCCCTGACGCCAAAACCAGACAGAGAAAACCAAAGGCCGACGGTCCCCACGGACCAGAGAAAGCCAGAGGCCCACGGTCCCCACGCACCAGACAGAGAAAGCCAGAGGCCCACGGTCCCCGCGCACCAGACAGAGAAAGCCAGAGGCCCACGGTCCCCACGAACACAGGCTCAAAAGCCCTCAACAAAACAGTCACGGAGTGAACTCAGCAATACGTTAAAACAGAAGAACGCTGCAGGGACTCAAGGGGGAAGGGAGCTGGCGTGGAGGGGACACGCAGTCACTCTGGAAACACCACAGTGGGGCGGGCTCACCTTCTTCACGAGGAGGCAGACGTGGTGGCCCTGGATGGAGCGGCTGTACATGGAGGCGCAGGAGTTCACTCGCTCCACAACTGCAACAGAGCGGGCAGGCGTGAGGCCGCGGCACGGCCGCCCCTCGGGGAACAGGGGACAATCGTGTGCGCACAGGCCGTGCCACCTATCAGCCACTGCAAATCCCTTACCGGAAAAATGGTGATGAAAACAGATCTTTGCCAGAAGGTTCTGGAAGGACATACTAATGCCATCGACTTTGACTGAGCTCATGCTCAGATCCCCAGATTCCAGCAACTTGGCAAAGGCATCACTGTGGGGAGGACACAGGACAGGGAAGCTGAGGACAGGCAGATAGAGCACCCAGCCCCGGGGGCGGGGTCCCCTCCTCTATGTGCTGGGGCCTAGAGGTCTCCAAGGGTCTTGGAAGACGTCACGGGCTGAACTGCGCTCCCAAAATTCCTACGTAGAAGTCCTGACCTCCCGGACCTCAGAAATGTGACTGTACTTGGAGACAGGGCCCGCATCCAATGTGACTGGGGTCCTTTAAGAAAAAACAAGGGCAAGGAGATGCAAAAAGGGACGACCACGTGAGGACACAGGGAGACGATGGCTGTCTACATGCCAAGGAGCGAGGCCTCAGAGGGAACCAGCCCTGCCCACACCTGGGTCTCAGACCCCAGCCTCCAGCACCAGGAGAGAAGCAATGTGTTGTCTGAGCCGCCCAGACTGTGCTACTCCTTACGCAGCCCGAGCTGGCCGACACGTCAGAGGAGCTGGACTTTCTGCACCAGCTACCGCTGGTCACTCACATGCCAGTGTCCGAGGACGTGTCCGGGGGACTGCCCGGGACCCAGGGGAGCGGGAGCGGGCTCACGCACCTGTAGCACGGCGTGGTGATCAAGTACGAGGTGCAGCTGAAGTGTAACTTGAAGTCAAGCTTCTCGTGGGTGGAGCCCTCGTCGTTCTGCCAGAAGCAGGGCCGGGTGAGTGGGGAGTGGGCCAGCCCGCGAGCTCAGGTGGGCCGGTGATCTGGGAGCAGCTCCTACCCGGGGTCTGCGTGCTCGCAGCACATGGAGCGGGCGTGGGGGTCCCGTGGGCCCCCGACCCCACCTTGAGAGCTGCATACCTTGGCGATGAAGGTGAGGGTCCCCTTGAGCTTCTGGGCCATGACAATGCTCTGAATGGTGAACACAAACTGGGCTTCGTTGGAGATGCCTGGGGAGAGCAAGAAAGACGGGGCCTGAGGAACAGCATGGGGCTCGGCCCAGGAGGTGGCAGGTGGCAGTGGCTTGACCCCACCTGGGGTCTGTCCTCAGCACTGCGTGCCCGGGTTGGGAAGCTGGGCTCGGCCCCCAAGGGGGCATCTGGGCACAGGGAGAAAGTGGGGGCTCCTGGTGTCCTCTGCCTGGGCCTGGCCCCACCCACCCACAGCAGGTTCGTGGGTGCCCCTGGCCTCCAGCAGAGGCTTGGCCATCAGGGCCCCGGGAACAAGGAGGGGTGTGGGCGTCCAGGCCTGACCTTGGGGGCTCCCCCAGCCCTGGGACCAAGGAGCAGAGGCGTGACGAGGAGCTGCTCACCCCGCGGGAACCCCTGGCCTCCACCGAGCCCTGGACATCGGTGGTCTGCGGCCGGCTCACCTGGGGGCAGCTGGAAAGGCACGGGGACGCCGTCGTGGACGGAGGAGCCCTCCGGCCGGGCCAGCTTGGCATTGAGCGAGTCCAGCACGTTGAGCTCCATGTTCTTCAGGAAGCTGCTGCTCCGGTTCTCCAGGACGACGGACACGGTAACGCGGCTGTCCTCCTGCAGGCTGCCCTGGACCTCATACGTCTGCACAGAGCAAGGCCGGGGTCAGCGGGTGTGGCGCAAGCCCACCACCCAAGGGGAAGGCGGGCAACACTCGTTCTGCAAGTGCAGGGAAGTGCAAAGAAAGGAACTTTCCCGAATCCTCATGCAAAGAAAACCGCGCTTCGGCTGTCTGCAGTTTCGAGCCATTCCTGTCCTTTGAGAACCACTGTTGGCCACCCTGTCGCCCCTGCCCCGCCCACGGTGCGAGGGCCTCCCTGTCACACGCAGCAGAGAGCGCCGGCCTGGACTTCTCTCCCAAAAAGGCCTCCACTGGCACTCTGGGCGCTCATGGATGCCCCCGGGGCACAGCCGCCCCCTCACAGCCAGAGAGAAGACCCCTCAGCCCCAGCCCCCGCAAGGCCCAGTCACTCACCATCTTGATGTAGGAATTTTCAGCCAGGAGACAGTAGCTGGACATGGGCTGGAACAGAGGAAGAAGCTCAGCGCTGGGAGCCAGGGCCTGAGTGATGTCTGCCACGGAACGAGGCCTGTCTCGAGCTGCCAAGTGCTCCGGGCGGGAACCACTAGGACCATGAGAACTGGGGCAAGGAGCCCCCGTGGGCCACAGACAACACACGTCTACACCCCAGGGGATCCTGATGCTGGCACGGCTGGGGAGGACTGCCAGGTGACAGCGACACCTCCCTGACACCCACGGCCCCAGGGCCACCAACCCACTGCCACTGAGGCCCCACTGCCTGCTCGCCCGCTGTGGCCGGCTCCTCAGCCTGGCTCGGTCTCTCCCTGCGTGGAGGCCATGGCGAGCTGCGGGGACGCCCCGGGCCGCGGGAGGCGAGTGAAGTACCCCTCACCGGGAGGGGCTCCTCATCCAGCGAGCCGTTCTCCACGGGCTCCGCCGCCCCGCTGCTCGCCGGCTGCTGCTTCCTGGATTTCTTCCTGTCTGTGCACCTGTCCTCCCGCTCCTTCCGGTGCTTCTTCTTCTGATGCTTGGAAGGTTTCTGCGACCAGAGGGGAGGCCAGGGTCAACCCCCAACTTCCCCGGCACGTGGCACACAGCGACACTCTCTCTCACGTCACGTGACTTGAAACACAGGCCCAAGTGTGCCAAGGTAAGGGGCACACGTGTCAGAGCAGACAGGCCAGAAACCCCCAGGTCCATGGAGAACGGACGAGGCTGGGCCCAGCGGAGGCCAGGACCCAGAAACCCATAGCTCAGCTGGACAGTGACTGCCGACTGGGGTAAAAACGCCCGGGGAAACGACTGAGTTCAGACACGTCGGCCCAGCAACTACGGAACTCCTCAGTATCCACCCACGAGACACGAAAGCAAACGTCCACACAGAAACCTGGGCACACGTGCATGGCAGCACGATTCCCAACAGCTACAGGGGAACACAACCCAGGTGTCCATCAGCTGAAGAGTGGATGGATAAGATGCGGTCCACCCACACAGTGGAGTATGACGCAGCCGTGAAGAGGAGCGAAGCCCTGACACAGCCACACTGTGGACGGACCTTGAACACACGATGCTCAGTGAGAGAACCAGACACAGAAAGACACACGGTGTGTGATCCCATTGATGTGAAATGTCCAGAACAGGCACATCCACAGACACAAAGTGGCTTTGTGGTTGCCAGGGGCTGGGGGAGGAAATAGGAGTCACTGCTTATGGGGATGTGATTTCTTTTAGAAGACATGGAACATTCTGGAACTAGAGACTGGCAGTGGGTGCATAACTCTGTGAATGTACTGAAATCACTAATTGTTCACTCTACACAGTGAACTTTCCGGTGTGCAATAAAGCTGTCACAAAAGCCAGAACCCTGTAACCACAGCGATGGTCAGAAGCCCTGAAGGTCCCATGGGTGAGGTTCGGGCAGGCCTGGCTCTCCCCACAGCCCTGAGCGCAGGTGTCTGGCCTGGGCGCCCTCACCTTCTCGGAGTCCCGCTCCTCCTCCTCCTCGTCTTGCTCTTTCCTCTTAGGCTCCTCACACTCCTCCTTAGGGGCAGGGATGACGGCGTTCACCTCGGGCTCCTCCTGCAGGGAGCCAGGTGGGGGGCTTCAGGGGACAGCCAGGCCCCAGGACAGGGTGTCCTGCACCCTCGGGCCCAGAACAGCCTCGTGCTGGCGATACCTTGCGAGGGACGAGCCCTGGCCTCCTCCTGCCCAGCTATATTTTCTCAGCACACAGGCACGTGACCAGCAGGGGGAAGAGGAGGCCTGGCCTGAGGCCGCCTGGGCGCTGACTGGGGTCACTGCCTGAACCCCAAAGCCACCAGGCCCCGTCCACTAACACAAAGTGACCGCTCAGGCTGCTGCCCGGCTTGGGGGGCACCCGGCTCTGCACTGAGGCCCAGCAGCCTAGCCACCCCCATTCCTCTTTCACTGCCTGGGCAAGACCGTGGGCTCAGGACCGAACTGGCCCGAATCCGGCTCGTCCGTGTGAGGGTCTCCAACGTCCACCCTGAGGGCCGGGCGGCTGGGAAGGGCTGACAGGAGGGGAGGGGCCAGAGTGGGCGGCGCCCAGAGCAGGCAACCCTGGACGCTTCGGAGAGGCAGCTGTGCCCGGGCTGCAAAGTGCAGCCGAGGCCGGCGCGGGGCCAGCACAGGCCGCCCGGCAGGCTCTTACCGTGGACGGGGCTGGGGCAGGAGCAGCGGCAGGCGGTGGTGTGGTGGACAGCCAGAAATCTAGGTCCTCGCCCTGCAACCACAGGATGACAGGCCTTTGGCCAGAGCAGCAGGATGGCCCCCAAGAGGGCACGGGTGGAGTGTGGAGGAGGCGTGGGCAGAGGACTACTCTGGCTTCACAGGACCCAGGAGCTCAAGCGTCCAGGAGCTGAGGACAGCGGCGAGTCTTAAGGGGGCGGTGGCGTCTCTAGCTCTGACTGTCCTGTCACAAGAAGAACAGGCGCCCACAGACCCGCACGGGGACGCATGAGCTCTGTTCCCAACGGTCCATGAGCCAGCACAGCCCTCACGCCCACCAGGACTAACAGCCGTGGCACCACATGGCCGCGGGGAGCCACGCCGCTCTGTGGCGAAGCAACACGGCCCACGTGTGCACGGTTCTTTAAAACCCCATTTGCCTCGCAGAGCACAAACCCGCAGGCCAGCGCTGAGATGCTGGTGCTCCGCGTGGGGCGGCCGGCGGGGGCTCGCTGACCCTCCATCACGACGACTTGCGATACACGTCAGTGCTGCCCAGGGCTGAGGTGGCCGCCGCGGGCGCCACGCAGGTCTCCCCTGGTGCGAGCTGGTGGCCGCCTGCCTGCGCGTCCCCACATCCCCGCCCACTGTGCCCCAGGTCCCCAGTGCCCCGACGTGGCCGCGGCCTGCGCCTGAGAGAGGGAGCAGGAGGGCTGGCCTCACCTTCTCCTTCTTCCTCTCCTTCCTCTCTCTCTCCCGGCCCTTCTCTTTGTGCTTCTTCTCCTTCTTCTTAGGCTTCTTACTCTTCTTTTCCACCACGGGGACGGTCTCCTTCTCAGGGGACTTGGAGGGCTCGGCGTCCCGGTGTTTCTGGACGGGCAGCTTCTCGCTGTCAGCTAGGGGCCTGGGGAGGGCGGCCAGGTCACAGAAGCCGCCGGGCTGTCCTTGGGCCCTGGGCTCGTCCTTCCACACACACACGGTGTGGCCTGGGACAGCCCCTCTGCCGCCCCTTTTGTTCACACGGGCCACGTTGCACTGGCGATAGACGGGGACGGAGGGGAACGGCAAACACAAGGGAAGCCCAGGCCCACGTCCAGCCTCGCCCCCAGCCCGGGCCCTGCACTTACTTATCCAAGTCGATGTCCAGAGCCCTGTAGGGGTCATTGGGGTCCTTGTCGTCCTCGTCGCTGGGCAGAGCGTTCTGAGGGAAAAGAGGAACTCAGTTTCCACTCAACCAGCCCAACCCCCTACCCTGCAGAGCCGAGCCTAACAGGTCTGCGGAACCCCCACCCCTTCCTGGACACGGACAACCAGGTCCTCAGCCACGAGGGCACCCGCTCTGGGGCCAGGGGGTCAGAGCGGCCGGCGAGGTCGGGCCGCACCAGGGCTGCCAGGCCACAGGAAACGGACTGAAAGCATGGGGGTGCATGCACTCATGGCTTGAGCCCCCCCGCCGTGTCCTGGCACACAGGACGGCTGGCACACGGCCTCCCCGGGCCACAGAGGAGCCCAGCGATGGGAAGGCTCCCTGGAGCATGGCCCTCCGACCAGCGGTGGTGGACACAGCAGAGCCGGCTCACGGGAGGCCGACAGCCCCCAGCGGCAGGAGCCTGCCCCTGCCCGTGGTGGCCGCGTGCTGACCTCGGGCATCTCCTCGGTGACGATGTCCACCTGCTGGGCCGGGGCGATGTCTTCGTCGCTCTCCGTGTGCAGCGAGCTGTGGCGCCGCGGCCTGCCCTTCTTTTCCTTTTTTTTCTTCTTTCTCTTGTCCCTCTCCAGCCTCTGCCGGTGCCGCCGCTCCTCCTCCAGCTTCACATACTGGTCCGACATAGGCATCCCTGTGGGCGTGGGGACACGCTCAGCCCGGCCAGTGCCTGGGCTGACCCTGCCCGACAGCCACGTGCGGGCGGCCCCCAGAAAGCGCCTCAGCCCCCGTCACCTGCTCTGGAGGGGGGCGAGGGCACGCGTGGGCACTGCCCCTCTGGCCACCCGGACACGGGCAGGGCCTTTCTTAATGAAGACAGGCAACCCATGCGGTGGCAGGGGTGGGTGGGGACTGAGACTTGGGGGAAGAGACGAGGTGGCACCAGCATAGTGGCCCAGAGGCTCGCCTGTGCCTCTGTCCACCCCGTGAGCTAGGACCAACTCCAGACAAGGAGCAGGATGGGTGCAGACATGAGCTCAGGGGCTCCCACGACCCTCGCTGACACGGCTCCCTGCCCCTACGCTGTCCGTGCTACACTTGCCTGGCACCTTCAAGGGCACAGAGAGGTCGATCTGCACCACGGGTATGTGCTCCACGCCCGGTGCATCCTGGTACCGCTGAGGAGGCAATGTCAGGGCGTTACCACGCAGGACGGACAGACGAAACCCGAGAAGGGGTCTCCGCCCAGCGGGACACCCTGGGGAGCGAGGGACCATCCTGCGGGAGCCCTGCTCCCTTAATGACTGGGGGAACGGTCTGTCAGTATAAACAAGAATAAGTTGAGAAGCAAAAATTACATCAATTTTTCCCATTTGGATCTTTTTTCTTTTTTAAGTTGAGAAACTAACGCAGGCCAGAAACCGCAGTGAGCCAGCACTTTATACCCAGCAGGACGGACAGAATCAAAAAGCCAGACGACACAGGCCTGGTGGGGGTCTGTGGAGTCATGGCCCTCAGCATGGCAGGTGGGAAACAGTACGCGGCCCTTAGGAAGGTTGAGCCAAGTCACCAGTGAACCGGCGATCCCCAGAGAAGGAACACACTGGAGTGCCTGCCACGTGGAGCTGTGTCTCTCACAGGGAGCCCAACAATCCCTCAATGGGGGGCCACTGGGCAGAGAGCAGGGATGAAGACAGTGGGCACCACCTGAACCAAGATCTAGAACATTCCAGCCACGCTAGACATACCCTTGCGTCCACTCCCTTCCCACCAAGAGGCGCCACCTCTGCAGCCCCACCACCCGCGAGGGCAGCCTGACCACAGGCGAGTGCAGGACTGGCTCTCTCCCAGGTCTCAGTGTCCGGGGAGGGGACCCCCCCACTGTCTTGCCACGTGGATCGACCAAGATAACCCATCACTGCCCCCTGGTGTCCACCCGAGGGTGGGTCGACGGGCCCAGTGGGGCTGGGAAACATCCCTCGAGGATGATCCAGGACCAGCCTCACCTTTTGGGGGGATGGGGAACTTTTGATGTAGAACGGGTTGTTGGCCTGTTCCTGCTTCCGAGCTTCTCGACGCTGCGGAGAAAGGATCCGAGGTGTCTGTCAGCGAACGCATGGAACACGAGCCCTGTTCCTTCCCAGGCGCGGGCCGCCTCCTGGCTCCAGGCCCTGGGTTGGGGGGCCTCTGACCGACAGGAAGACCAGGCCCCCACAGTGGGAAGGAGCAGGTGTGGGGCCAGACGGCAAGTCGGTCATAACCCCAGGAGGTTATAGGGTTATGACTGTCTCTGTTTTAAGGACGGGGGCTCAGAGAGGCTGGGTGAGCTGCCCGAGGCCACCCAGCTCCAGGGCAGAGCCGAGACAACCGCAGAACAGGCCACGAGTGAGAGAAGAGGGGCTCCCGGGGGTGTGTGTGTCCCTAACTTCAGAACGAAAGGAGCTGGACATGGTGGAGAAAGGTGGGGGACGCAGCACTCCTGTCCTTTTCTGGGCTATCTGAACGTCGCACGCTGTTATAAAACTCTGCGCCCAGGGGAGCATGGAGCAGACAGTCGGGGCAGGCCAAGTGCACCCATAGGCCCCTGGGCGCCAGGTCAGGCCCCCGCAGCTCTCTCTGGGGTGCTCTGGGCTCAAGAGAAGCCGCTTCTCGTTTCAAGAAAACCCAACCGGGACATCAGAGGCTGGCTCAGCGCTCCCCGGAGGACAGCGGGACACACAGGCCAGACCCGACAGAACCGTGCGTGGCCACCCGTGGGCTCGGAGTTCAGAACCTGCTCTGAGCAGGGCCACCCACCCCCGAGACCCCAGTAGGAGCGCTCACCCGGGCCAGCTCCTCCTCGTCCGCCTCGGGCTGCCGCTGCTTGGCGTGCCGCTGCTCCTCGTCGTGGAAGATGGCCTTGGGCTTCTCGTCCTCAGACTCGCTGTCTGAGAGCGGCTCGTTGATCCAGGCGTCCAGGTCCAGGCTGCAGGACACAGTGAACTCAGAGGCGGCTCCAGCCTGCGTGCCCAGCCGTACATGCTCAGAGTGGCAGATGAGGCAGGGACGCTGCTGTCCCCTTGGGACAAAGACATGAAGACCGAGTGGCTGCCTGGGGTCACAGCAGGCAAGGCAGAGTCCAGGGACCCTGGAGTCCAAGCTGCCCTCCGCGGCCCTACCCATGTTCTGGGGACCCCACACAGGCTCACCGTGCCCCTGAGGTTTGTGGACGAGAGCTGCCAGCAGACCCACTTTCCAGGGGGTGGACCCAGGACCTCACGAGAACTAGTGACTGCCCTGGACACAGTCCAGGTGAGGGGGTCTGTCCAGCCCATGAAGGCTCAGGCATCAGGGGCCTTCCTCCCGCCCTCCTGCACCTCTCCTGGCTGGATGGCAGGTCCAGGGTGCAGTTCTGCTCCCTCTCTCCCTCCTGCTGCCCCTGGCTTCCTGTGTCCTCCGATAGGCCACGCGGCTCACCCTTCGGGAACCGGAACCTTCTTCTGTGCCTTGGGAGCCACTGGGTTCAGCTCCCCGGCAAAGAGAGCACTCACTTCTTCCGCCACCGGCACGTCCTTGGCCTGAAGCTTCTGGACGTGCTTGACCAGCTGCAGGATGCAGGAAGCCTGTGCAGGGCCGTGGGGGAGCACAGAGGAGTCACGGAGGACTGACCCTGAGGGCCACTTGGCAACAATGGGGCATCGCTCACACCCCATGGATGCTTAGCCCAGGGAAGGTGACACATGGCCACTCCCCACTGAGGGCTACTGAGAACATCCAGAAGCTTCTGTGAGAAGCCATCGAGTGTGGAGGGACCCAGCCAGGAAGAAACCAGCCCTTGTTACCGTCTCCTTTAGCAGAAGGAAGCAGAGACAGAAACAGGCCCAAACACGATGGGTCACAAGAAGAGAAAGCGCCCCTCTACGAGAATCGCCCAGACAAGGGCCGTGAGTCCCCAGACGACTGGAAGTGCCTGCTTCCAGGAGGCACCCAGGCACCTTTGTGCCGCTGGTCCTCAGAGGACTCTGGCTTGGGACTCTGCAGGAGTGTGGCTCCCAGGAGCACAACAACCCACCCCCAGCCTGACGCGGGTCTTGGGATCCTCCGCCATCAGACGGGCTAACGCCACATACCCAAACACACCACCGAGAGTGGAGGGCACCCTCCCCCACCATGGGCGGCCCCAGAACTCCCCACCCGCCAGGGGCTGGGTGGAGCAGTGAAAAGGGGATTTCCCCAAGTTGCTTTTTGGGAAAGAAAAGCTGCGCCCTGCTGAGAACACAGGAATGTGGGCTGCGGGCTCCTCCAGAGGCTGACCTCCCCGGGAAACCCTGACACCCCAGACCGTGCCAGCCCACCAGCTCTCACCCGCTCCTGGACCTCCAGGTCCGCGCTCTGCACAAACTGGGGCAGCCGCTCCACCATGAGCTGGGTGACCTCCTGGGCCGCCTCTGTCTCCGCAGCCTGCTCCTTCTGCTGCAGGATGGACGCGTACAGCTTGACCACATTCTGCACGTACACGGCCTGGATGTGGCCGGGCAGCGTGGTGACCTTGGGCCGCAGCATGGCCTCGAGGGTCTGGTGAGGTTCCTGCAGGTGCCTGCAGACGGAAGGGCCGTGAGCACGCGCCCCAACGGCTCCGTGCCAGGGGGGTTCCGGGGCCGGGGCAGGGGGCCAGGCGCCCTGCTAAAACGGCTGCGGGGGCGCCTGCCCAGCCCATCCCAGGCGCCAGGGCTGAGGGAGGCGTTTGGAGGACGACATCGCAGCCACGGCGTGACAGTCGTGGAGAGGCCAGACAGAGAACAGTTACGACAGAAGAGGAACAAACCACACCAACAGCGCAAACGTGGAGATGGAACTGCCCACCACAGGCAAGGGTGTGAGGACACAAGACGAGACCCGACCACGTGAAGGGGCGGGTGGGCGGGTCCCGGGTCACACTCCTGACTTCTCCCTCGTCCTTGAGATCGGACATGTTTATGGTCAAAGCAGCTTTTCTCCCAGAGAAAGTAACGCAAAGGAAAGGTGGGCAGGCCGGGGGGCGGCAGCCACCGGGGAAGTGAGGGCACTGTGAGACTCCCGGGGGATGAGGTGGGAGGTGGGGGACAGCCCTTCCTTTGGGGCCGGCCCGCCCACTCACTCGGAGAACTCGCCGCAGATCCAGGCGGCCGCGTAGAGCACTTCGCAGATCCCGTTGCGCTGGGTGCCACTGGCCACCAGGTGGGCGCTGTCAAGCAGTGCAGACATCTGTGCCACGGCGAACCCGCGGATGGCCTTGACGCGGATGGCCACATCCAGCATCTGTGCGGCGATGAGGTGGCCGTGGCGCGTGCCCTCCAGCCGAGTCAGCTCCACCAGGATGCTGATGTACCTGCAGGAGGGAGCCACTGAGCAGTGCCGAGCACCATGCCGGCCCTCCACCTCCACCCGGCCGTGCGCCACGGACCACTCGAAGTTGGTGATGTGCTGGTAGTTGGACTGGCTGCAGATGTCGATGATCTTGGTGAGCAGCTCGTCGCGGTAGGTTGTGCCCTCGGCCTTGTCCACGTGGGTCATCAGCCTCTTGACGATCTCCATTAGATTCTTCTTGGACACCTGGGGCGGGAGGGCTGGTGAGGGAGGGCTGCTGTGGGAACCCGGGGAGCGGTAGCCAGCCACCCGGGAGGGGCACGCACCATTCCATACAGGAGGTCGAGGGCCCGCAGCCGGATGGACTCATCCTTGTCGTCCAGACACTGCAGGACGAGGTCCTTGTGGGCCTGCACGGACTTCGGGTGCGTTCTCAGGATCTTGGACATGGCCAGCAGCCCCAGGTACTTCACTGCAGAGACAGCAAGACACGGTTAACCCCGGACGTGCCCCGATGGGTGTGCGGGCCAGCACAGAGAGCGAGGCCCGGCCCCGGCAACCTGGGCACCCTCGGAACGTATCCTGGGCGGCACAGTAAGTGAGGGCAGAGAAGTCCTAGGTGAGGGCCCGGTGAGGACCTCACTCTTACCAGGGGCCACCGCTCACTCCTGACCCCCCACATACACGAGGATCTAAAGCAGGGGCAGCGAACTGCAGGCCTCAGGCCCAGCCCAGCCCGGAGCCTGTCTGTGAATGAAGTCTAACCAGCACACGGCCACGCCCACCGCGCCGGCTTTTGCTGCAACGGCAGAGACTGCACCGCCGCAAAGCTGAGGAGAGTCACTGTCTGGCTCCCGCCAGCCAAAGCTTGGTGGCCCCCGATGAAAACAGACAGACCTGGACTCAAAATGAGCAGCCAACACGCCCAGGCCCTCAGGAGCCCTTGCCACCCCAGCCCCTGTGCCAGGCGGTGCTGCTGGCTAGGACTGCTCGACGGAAGCTGTCCACAAAAGGAAGACCGTGTGCAGACATACAGCAAATGGACAGCGCGGCCTCTTCATGCTCCTCAGGAAACCAGCGGGACCGCCACGAGCTGCCCTCGCTAGCTCGTCATAGGAGAGCCACCTGCATCCCAGCAGGAACGTGCAGCTTTGAGTGTGACGAGACCCAGGAGGAGCAGGTGCCAGCGTGGCTCTGTCCCTCGCCTAGCTTTCTGCTTCCGTCTCAACTGGGCTTCCCTAGCCCCTCCCTCAGGTCCTCCCGGGAACTGGGGCTGGAAGAATGAGCCGGGTCCTTCTCCAGGACCTCACCCAGGGCCCATCTCCCTGCGGACGAAGCACGGGGCTCAGAGTCTGACCTCGGGAAGGGCTGTCCCCAGAGTCACGCTGAGACACCGGCCGGAAGGTGCCCGGCGTGCAGACGAGGGAGTGGGTATGGGGGCCGCACCGCGTTGACAGAGGTGGTTTCTCTAGAACACCCCTGAAGCCTGACCGTCAACCTCTTGACACTGGTCTCCATGGAGCAAGGGTGTGGGTAACACTAGCATCCACTGTCTTCTCACAGGAAGGAGCCCTAACTCCACAGAGGTTTAGGGCCCAAGACCCAGAGGGCACGGACGGAGGGGAGCAACTTACAGTTCTGATCGGAGTCTTCTATTAATATCCTTAACTTCTGAACACAGAGCTGCACGGGGCAGATGACACCGTTACACCTTCTAGACCAGCAGAGAATGCAGCACCCCTGGGTCTGCCCCCACCCGAGTCCACCCCGTGCCCTGAGGGCCCGGCCACCAGCCCCACAGATGAGAGAAGGGCTGCACACAACAGGCATCCACCCAAGGAGCACCCACCGCGCAGGAGGGGGGCTGCTCGCAAGCAGCGACGAGGACAGATAGCGGACATACTGTGGGCAAGGAGAGTAGGCGCCCGACATGGACACAAGGGGAACGCCCACAGAAACACGCACTGGACACCCTGGCGACTTCCACAGGTGCCAACGTGTGTGTCCACCCCTCACTGGTCCACCCCACAGACGCGCGCTCCACAGAATGCAGCCATGCAGGATGCTGAGTGTGAACGATGGCAGTGTATGTGGGGTGGGCTGGCATCTGTCAGAGCGTGGGGGCAGGGGGCTCCCAAGGTGGGGACAGAGGGGAGAAGAGGGCTGGCTGGCCGGCAGATCCTCGGGCCCCTCCCCGGCCTGTCACCCGACTCCACTGCATGGCGCTGCCTGGTGCCGGGGACCCACCTGAATACTGGCACTGTGGTTAGGCATGCCGGAGGACAGGGAGATGAGAACTGCAACAGACAACCTCGAGTTAGGAGCCTGCCAGGCCTGACCCGGCGTGCACACGTCCACTCACAACATCCACTGTGGCATCGGCCCCTGTGCCCGGCGGGAGGCACCTGAGGTGGAAACGCCACCATGCTGGGAACTGCTCGGCCCAACTGATGTTTGTGCAGGAAAGGGTTAACACGGTGGCCTGACTGCTCTCCCTGGGAAGGCCAGCTTACAAGGTGGGTGCCTGGAACTGGACTCGGGGGCTCCCGCGCTCTCTGACAGGGGGCTCCATATCCCTAAGCTGCCTGTGCAAATGCGTGGTCTACGCTGAGCGCCTGCTCTCCTCCTGGGGTCTGGGATCTCGTCCGTGCCAGCCCCCAGTGAGAACCCTGGGCGCTGGGTCTCCACGGCTAAGAGAGCAGACCACAGTCCCAAGGGCACCAGGCCTCCCCATCCAGGGCAGTCCCGTGGAACTGGGGCCACACCCCACCTGCTGGCTCACCGCACAATCACCTGAGACCCGCCGCACCTGTGACTTGCCAGGCCCCTGCCTCTCTCTGCACCAATTCCTCCACATACCGCCAGGGCTGTCTCTGACCCTGCCACGCCCCGGCCCTCCCCACTGATCTTTCCAGACGCAGGAGCCCACGCTCCGAGGTCTGCTCTCAAACGCCCACCCTTCCTTTCCCTATTCCTGCTGCGGAGCCTCCGGACACTCACCGTCCACACAGCTACAGCCACGGAGCGTGGGCCCTGGGCCAGCTGCCTGTGAATTACTGTAGTAGTGCCGCCCACGCCCCAGGAGGACGGACAGGAGGCTGGCTGCCCAACAGTTCCGGGCAGGGGCGGGCAGGCAACGAGAAGCTGAACCCCTCGAGCCACCAGCTCCAACTGCCAGTCTACCAGACACCCAGGCCACAGGGACACGGGACCCAGGAGGTGGCCAGACAGGCTGCGGAGCAATGACTCCAGTCCCAACAAGTAAAGGGGCCGAGGGGCTTCTAATTTATCAACCACGTGGCAACCCACCAGCCAACGCTCTGTGGCCCTTCGCTGGATCCCAACTCAAACTGACTCTAAGGAAACTTTCTGAGAAACACACCTGACCCTGTCTGCAAAGACCTTTTTGTTGTGGACGCCTACGCTTAAGAACCTACAGAGAAAAGGCACGACGCCCAAGATTTACTTTAAAATACTCAGAAAAAATAAGGTCTTGCTGGCAGGGGTGACGGACGGGCCGAGAGCAGCAGGATTTACACTGGAGGCTGGGTGACGGGCAGGGGCTCTGGCTGCAGACGAGGAACGAGCCCTGTACCCCTCCAGACGGAAGGGGCTCCAGACAGGCTGCGCCGCCGAGCGGCTGCAGAGACGGGAATAAACACCCAGCACTGGGGCGGGTGGGAAATCGGACGAGACGGGCAGGAACCTGCGACTCCAGGGGTTCTCGCACCCCCTGGTGAGGCCTGGGGACGGCCACTGGGGACCTGACACCCCAGGCGGGAGCGGGGGAGGGCCACCTGCTCCGGAGCCGGGCACCATGGTCTCTCACCTGCGATGACGGTGTTCACACACTCGTAGAGCAGGGACATGGCAGACGTGCTGGGGACGGAAACAGAGAGGAGACATGAGAACGGCTGGGCCGCTCCGCCAGACGCAGAGTCCTGACAAGCACCCCGCCCACAGACCCCAACTCCTGTCCGGGGCTCTGGGCACTTGGCACCTCCGCCGGTCAGCGTGGCCCACCCACTCTGTCACCTGCGGCATTAGAACCCTCCAAGGGTCATGAGCACGCCCCTTCTAACCACCAAAGGCGGCCTGAGATGCTCCCGCCACTGCAGTCTACTCCCCTAACCTTCCTTCCTTGAAGGAAGCCCAATTCCCCAAACACCTCCCCTAACCCAGACCACCACCACTAGGACATGGCCATGCCTCAAGGGCATCTGGGGACGTGGGGAGCAGAGCCCAGGATGATGACGGCCAAGGGCGGGCACCAGGCATGTCTACTCCACTCCAGTATTCTCCTGGAAGATGCTCTTGAGCCCAAATCACCCAAACCCGAGACTGAGGACACTGAGTGTCCCAGAGAGCACGGGCCGTCAGAGCCAGGCCACGGCCACAGGACCCATGGCTTCTAGTTAATCCACTCTGAAATCCATGGCTACGCTGTGAACTCAGTGACTGGTTATTATTTAAAACCAAAATGTCCCAAGCCCAGACACCTGTTGTGTCTAATTATCTGTGAATGTGTGATCCACTTACGAGCCAGGAGACTGGACCCCAGGGGATGGCAGAGACCTGCCCGAGGCTTGGGCCGCACGCAGAGGAGCACGCAGCTCTGATGTCTTACGCAGCCTCGAGACCTCCAGCTCCTCCCGCTGCCCACGGCCACCTCCCTGGGGGACACCGGGGGCAGGATCTCCTGAGCCACCTGCTGCTCAGCCCTCACAATTCAACTATAGGCATCCAAAGTGATGTAGAAGCTCTTAGAACATTCCAGAACTGGCCAGTGACATAAGTCGTTTAAAGCTCAACTGGACCACCAGATGTACTTGTGAACCTGGGAGGCTACGTGGGGTATCTTTTTTCCTTTTGTTCTGTTTTCGCTGTTGCTGTTTCAAACCCTGAACTAAAGGGAGAGAAAGCCCGAGCCCTGGTGTTCCAGGAGGGCCAGCAGATGCCCCTGCAACACAGCTCGTCGTCCGGAGCAAAACCACCCGGCGTGTGTATGTGCTTCTCGATCCCACAAGACTTCCCTCGGGGCTCAGCCCCCCACGTGACAGCCGCGGGTCCTCACGCGGGGTGGGAACACAGGCCTGCCTGGTGGACAGCGAGGACGGTGGGCACCCTGACAGAGCGCAGGGAACCTGGGGCTCACCTGTGGATCAGGTTGGTGAGAGGCTCAATCAGCTTCTTGCCCAACCTCGGCTCCAGAGGAGTCAGAGCACCAAACTGGGGGATGAGAACCAGCGGGTCACTCGCTGCAGAGCAGGAACAGGACGGCACGTCCTTGTCCATGACCAGGAGAGGGACGCCCGGTTCTGTGTGCCCACACCGCACCCCCCACAGGCCCAGGAGCACTCCTGGGACGCCCAGGGACCTCTCCCCAAGGGAAGAGACGGAGGCTCACCAGTTTGATGATTTTAATGAGGACCCAGTTGTTGGTCGAGGAGGTCATCAGCTTGAAAAACAGCGGGGCGAGCGAAAGGTAGTTTTTGGGGTTGCGCCTGGCCAGCTCGCAGATGACATTGACCGCTGCGGACTGGACCCCTGTGAAGTGCAGAGGTGTCGTTGTGAATAAGAGGGCGTCATCAAAAAAGGGGGCGCCCTCATCAGTAAGAGGCGGCATCCTCATCAATTAAGTGGGATCCTCAGCAAAAAAGGGGGCATCCTCATCAATGGGGGGGTCCTCATCAACAAGCGAGGTCCTCATCAATACGGGGCATCCTCATCAATAACTGAAACCTGCACCAGGGTTCGAGAAGCTGCTTTCCGTCTGCTCAGCCAGGGTCTCCCCCTGGAGGAAGGAGGTACAGACAAGGACAGACGAAGGCAGGATGGGCCCCGTGGTGCAGGACTGGCGTCAAGGCATCGGAATAAACTGTGACGGCTCACACACAGCCAGCCAGCCAGCACTCCACGAGGGCGGTGTGTGGGCGGGTGTCCGCCGAGGGCCCAGCGGCTACGAGCACACCCAGCGCCCGGATCTCGTCTAAACTCCATACCAATAAACAGAACCAGCGCTCCTTGGAGACACGGCGGAGTCCACAGCCGGGGCAGGGAGAGGGGGACGAGAACCCGGCATCTTGTGGTGCCAGAAAGCAAGGAGGTGCCCTCTGTGGGGGATTCTAGGATGGGGATCCTGGGACCTGGGGCGTCACAACTCCTTCCTCACAACAGCCTCCAGCTGGTCTTCACAGACGCAGGCGGAGCGCCACGGCCCCACATGGTCCCCGAGTGGTGACAGCATCTTGGGTGCCCCCGTCTTAACTGAAATCAACAAACCAGGATCGGGGTCCTCCAGCTTCTCCTTCAGGCGGGGGAAGGCAGGGCGCAGCGACTCAGGGTACTTCAGGAACACCTTGTACATGATCAGCACGGCCTTCTTCCGGATGTACGGCTTGGTGTGCGACATCTGCGGGAGCAGAGGGCCGTCCGTCTCCCCTTGGCACTGCAGCTGCCCTCGGCGCACCTGCGTGCTCACCTCCCTGTACCTGCTGTGTCCCACCTCCCCGCACCTGCCCTGCTCACCTGCGTGCTCATCTCCCCATACCTGCCGCGGCCCACCTCAGTCACCCGGAGGGAAAGCCTCTCTGCAGCTGGTCTGGCTTCCAGCCTGCGAGGCCGGCCTGCACACAGGCCCTACTTCCCCACCGAGCCCCGAGACCACATGACAGGGTCTTGGATGGAATCAGAACCTGCCTCCCTGCACCCGTGACCCCAGGCCAGGCCTGCTCTCCGGAGGCTGGGACGCTCCTCCCAGATGCCCTGGGGCCCTCTGATGCGGAAGGTCACACTGGAAAGACAGCCTCCGCCTAGCAACACTGGCCTCAGGCTCTTCTGGCTGCCAAGGCCTGTTACCAAAGCAGGACGCCGAGGGGCGTCCCAGGCTCCTCTTGCCCGAGCCTCAGTCCCGCACGCCCACACACTCACTGCCCTGGAGCTCCTGGCCACCTGGCAAATGTGCTCTGGCTAGAAAGGCCTATTGTCCCTGGTGGGCACACTCCTCACCCGTCAGGGGCCCAGGGAGCCTCGCCCTGTGAAAGCCACCCCAGCACCGCCCCATGCCCCGGCACCAACAGGCACCGTGACTCGCTAACGCCCTCCTGTGGGCTCGGGACTGCTTTCACCGAGACTGGGTCGGCACACCTTCTGAAAAGACTGAGTATTTTTGGCTTTGCGGGCCCGACAGTCTCTGTCCGGCTACTCAGCTCTGCCCTTGCAGCTGGGAAGCCACCAGGGACACCTTGTGAATGAATGGGCGGGGTCATGCGCAGATCACAACAGGAGGCTGGCCGGATGTGGCCCGGGCCATGGGTACTGGCCCCTGATCCAGAAGCTGATGGCAGTCTTCAAGACCACGAGCCAAGACCTAACCATCTGCACAGCAGACAGGCTGACCACAGACGGACACAACTCTCCAGGGAGGAATGTAACCGCCAGTCCACACTGCTTCAATGTGACCAAAAGGGAAAACAAGGCCCCCTGGTTAGCTGGAGATGTGGGCGCACGGTCGCCGTCTCCGGGGGCCATGATTCCTAAGAGGATGTCGTATTTGAGAACAACGTTGCGAACACCCTGGCCATCAGGACGGGCTGGGCTTCTGCCTTTCAGATTGACTAAGCCACGAGAAGTCAAACCATGGCCAAAGACAGACGGCACCAGGGATGGAGCACGAAGGCTCACCCTGACCATGCGCCGTTGAGACCACGGCGACTGTCACCTGCGCCTCGGTAAGGAAGTACCCGACGGGTCACGCATGACCACGCAGGCGACCGTCCTCAGCCACACTTCGCTGTTAGTGACCACGCCCCTCCCCCGCAGGACGATTTCAAAGGGGGAGTAAGAATGTGAGAACAGCGGCTGCCTGAGGCTGAGCCCCACCACGCAGCGGAACAGGACAGTGACTCAGTTTCCCACTGCATCCTGGGGACCCTGGCCCGCTTCCGCGTGCCCGAGCGCTCTTGGCGTGACGTTTTAGCCTCAGTTTTCCCGGCACCCGTCCGGTCCAGGTCACGTCACGGAGCAGAAGCCAGGGGTTGGCGGGCATGCGCACAAACTCACCAGTGTCATGATGTCGTTGGCCAAGTCTCTGGCAAGGTCTGGGGTAACAAAACAGGACAGGCCGGTCAGCGCAGCGCCAGTGTCGTACTGGCTGGGGCTGCTCAGGTCCTGCAAGGGGAGGGGAGGGTCAGCGGGGCGCCGCCCGCGCATCCCCGGCCTAGCCGTGCCCCACCTGCCCTGCTCCGGGGCCTGAGCTGGGCTTGGACGAGGAGCAGCGAGATGCAGCCGGCTCTGCACCGTCCCCGAGAGAAGAGCCGGCACACAAGGAAGGGGACGGCTGTCCTGGCCCACAGGGGACAGGGGCAAGGCGAGGGCGGCCTCTCACTCCGGGCACAGCCCAGTGGCCCAGGGCACGACGGGGGCTGAGCCAGCGCCGCTCAGGGGCTCTCGAAGCGGCTCCCTGCTTGAGACGCGTGAGAAGGCACGGCCAGCCAGTCCCGAGCACCTCACGGGCACACGGCAGGGGAGCCCCCGGAGCAGAACCCCAAACCTCCGCTTCCACCGGGGTGTCTCTCCTACAACGAGAGACAACTCCTCTGGGCCCCTCCCAAAAGTGGGGAGAAGCTTCGGCCTGAGCGTCATCTTCCAGGTGGACAGGAAGCCAGCCCAGGGAGGAAGCACACACACCCAGCCACTGACGTCCCGAGGTCCCTCACCCGCGGCTCTCGGCCCCCAGGCTCTCACTAACCCCGACTGCAGGAACGCCTCACTGCACGCTAGTGAAGTGCTCTATTTACATCACAAACTTGCCCTGGGGAGACGTTTTCTTAAGGAACCTCCCAAAACTTTTCATACGTGGTGAAGAATATATTGAGATGCATTTTAAGAGTTCAGCTTCTAGATTGTGCTAATAACATGAAAATACTGGCTTTTACAACACACTCCAGCCAAGGCTGAGGAGACAAAACCGCATTGGAACCCACGGCACAGAACTTAGACCCCGACTGCCGGGCGTCCGTGATTTTTCAGCGGAGGAGGCCCGGTGGGCAGGTCTGCGGCGGCTGTTTCAGAGGTCATGGGCTCATGTAAAGTGGTGCGCACGGGGACTGCCAACATTGGGGCTGCGAGGGATCAGAATGGCAGCGGCAGGCGGGGCTGCGGCTGCATGAAGTCAGGACCCCGTGCCCGAGGCCGAGGTGGCAACAGGCCAAGGAGGGGGCAGGGGCAGGCGGGCCCAGTCACACGCCCAGATCCTTCTGTAACGGGGTGGGTGCATTGTCCACTCAGTCATGAGGACATCCCAGGCTCGGCCGTGCCCGCAGCAGAGCGCAGCTTAGTGACCCGCCAAAGCCACTCTGCCCTCCTCTTTCCTGCCACCCCCCCCACCTTTACCATCCTAGTATGCCACACTCAGCGCAGCTGGCTCAGCCCTCTCCCTCCTCCTCTCCAAGGCCACTCCCGGCTGAGCTCGCTCCTTACAGCCCCATGGCATGGGTCATGCCCAGTGCTGCTGGCCCTTGGCCGTGAGCCGGCCTCCCCAGCACTGTGAATGTGGTAGGCTCGTGTGCTCAGATCCACATCTCGTCCAGGCCGGGCATCAGTACCCCGGCAAGTACCTACACGGCCTGACTGTCCCATGACGCCTGCCTGGAAGCCCAAGCCAGGTCACCCTGCAGGGCGACCACAACTCACGGGATCCAGCCCTTGCACCCGGCTGTCTGTGAGCTACAGCCTCTGACATGTGATCCAGGGCCAGGAAAGGGCGGCGGGGGGGGTGGGGTGTTTCTCTGATTCTCAGACGCCCCCTCCGACCACTCCACAAGGAGGCAAGACACAAAAGATGCTTGAGGTACTAGGGCCAAGGAGGAAATTTATTCCTCAGTGGTCTTCAGAGATCATTTCAAAACATAAAGAACCTACCCTTGACTGAAATATGCACGTGGTGTGACTCATAGGACCAGTGGGCAGAAAGTCCCCACACTGGGAAGGTGTGCACCCTCCGCAGGCGCACCCTTGAAAGGAAGGAGGACTGGAAAGAAGGGGAGTGACCGTGGAGGCAGCCCCCCAACGCCAAGGAGTGAAAACGAGAAGAGAGGGACATCCGGCATCTCCCACCCGCCCGCCCGAGAGCCAGAGGGCAGGCGCCCCACCACTTCTGGGCACCTCCTGAGACGTCAGTCAGAGGGCAGTGCGCTTGCCACAGGAGTCGCAGGGAGATCTGGCTGACCTCATGCTTTCTACTCGCGCACAGAGCAACAGGAAAGCCCGCGTGGAGAATGGACACTCAAGTGTGGGGACAGAGGAGCTCCCCCACGAAGGCCGCAGGTCCTGCGGGAGGGGCCGCCTACCTTGCGGATCTGGTTTGTCGTCAGCATGATGACGTCGGTCCCTTCGTGAAAGCACTGGGAAGCCGCGAGGTAGCCGATTCGCTGTCGAGGGGAACAAAAGAAGGCGTCAGGGGTGGGATGAGGGGACCCAGTGCCCTGTGGGGAGCTCCCAGCCCTTTTCCTGACCTACCCGCCAAGCAGCCCCCGAGGCCTGGCAGCAACACCCCGAGCCTGGCCCCCGGGGTACACAGGTGGGCCGGGAATTCATTCATGAACGACAACGGGGGTCTTTAAAACACCAGGAGGAGGAAACGTCCCCAGAGTTGCGAGTCTGTGGTCTTTGAAATACACTGCTGTCTTAAGGTCTGCCAAACCACTGAGCCCCGTTAGTGAGGCGGGAGCATGCTCACTGCCCCCCGGGCCGTCGGGAGCTGCCTTTGCAGTCTAATGCGCAAAGTCCTCACGGCACTGCTTTTTACTGGCCTCCAATCTTTGCCAGGCTGACGCAGAGACCTAAGGTCACATTTGCACGTGTGCGTGACGCCCTAACACACGGGCAGAGCTCCGCCCCAGTTTTGGCGAATACGGCATCTCGTGTCTTCCCCCAGAGTAACGGGCGGCAGAGGGAGTGCAGGCCTGACCCCGGCAGGGACCCACAGGCGGGCGCTCGGGGCAGGCAGCGGCCTCGGCCTCAGCTGCCCAGTGGTGTACGTTCCCATCAAAAACCGAGTCGACTCAGGAAAATTACAGAATACCCCCCCAACGGGCCATGGGTGTGGAAAACCATTTTTTAGAACATTTACTAAAACCGGAGATGTGCTTATGTCATGATATCAAGGGAGGAGAAAAGCAGTGTCCCAAACAGCTCCCAATGGGGTCCCTGCGATGCAGAGAGAAAGTGCTCAGAAGATGACAAAGAGGCACTGAGACAGCACAAGGTGGCCTCTAGGTGAGACGATCAGTCAGCGTTTGCTTGTTTTTTTTTAAAGCTACAAATTTATTTTAATTTGTATTCAAAAAATACATAACCAATCCTATAAACCCATAATTTCACCGACATTACTTAAAAATGAAAGAAAAATGTTACATAAATAGTATTAATAAGTAATTTGACAATAGCTGTCAAATTTGTCAATAGCGGCCCCCAGCCCAGCACCACAGGGTCAGGCCCCTCACCTTGAAGGTGAACTTGGAGGCGCTCATCACTTCTATGATGTTGAAGGCGGCCCAGCTGATGTCATATCCCAGCATCTGCAGCTGTGGAGGGCGAGGCACAGGCATCACTCACAAGCCAACGCTCGAGCCGCAGCACCCACTGCCCCGTCCCAGCCTGGGGAAGGACGTGCGCCGTTCACTCTCAGAACATGTGGGCTTCCCCCGACACACACCCTGGCGCCTTTCGTCTCTTCTTCTGACACGGCAGTCTTCACGTTTAAGACTAGAGGGATAGGGCAACGACAGACACTACAAGGGGACAGACGCCTGCCGCTGGGATCCTAGTGTTCACATGTACTGGGTAAAATTCCCCCAGTGGTCGGTGAATCGGCTCCTCCTAAAAGCTACAGAGTGGCGGGACCTCCCAGCAGGCCCTTCGTCTTCCTTCTGCGACAGGAAGGAGGCGGGAGGGGGCTGTCTGCCACAGGCCCACACACCTCTGACCAGGGACGGCAGCCAGGCAGGGAACCGGCCCAGGATGGGTCAGAGCCAAGGCTTCTGAGCCCAGCCCGAGGGGGAGCTGAGACTGCAAGGGGCGCTCCTGCCGGCCTCCACGTGGGACAGGGCCCCAAGGGACCCTGGGCCAGCTGGATGGGGGCTCCACCAGGCCCTGTGCACGCGATCGTCATGGCGACTCTCAATTATCCCTGTGGGCCCCGAGGCCGGGGCCTGGAGCCGATAGCGTCAATCAATGTTTCGCGGGTGGAGAGACAGACGGATGGACCAATGGATGGGGGATGGACAGACAAATGAGTGGAGTGATAGACGGATGGACAAACGGATGGATGGACACAGAGACAAATGGACGGTGGACAGACAGACGGAGGGGAGGATGTGGAGTCAACAAGGGGGTGCGGGAGGAGGGCGTGGCTCTGCAGCGCCGCCTGAGCCCACAGGCCCGCGGGCGCTCGGCACTCACGTAGGTCAGCTTGCAGACAGCGTTCGCTTTCACTGCGATGTTGTCCTGCTTCAGCTCCTGCTTGATTTCATCAATGCACTGAGAGATATATTTTGCCTAAAAGGAAAAAAAGAAATTGAGAAATTGCAAGTGGCTGGCTAAAACAGTTAAGAATAATTACTTCAGAAAGAAGCCAGACACAAAAGGCCGTGGAGTCCATGATTCCACCCCTATGAAATGCCCCAAGCAGGCAGATCCAGAGACAGAAAGTGGATTAGTGGTTGTCAGGGGCTGGGGGAGGAGGCGGGGCAGTGACTGCTCACGGGCTTGGGGTTGCTTTTCCGGGTGATGAACATGTAAAACTGACAGAGGTGATGGCTGCGTGACTCTGGGAACACAATGAAACCACTGAGTTGTACGCTTTAAGTGGGTGAGTGTATGCTGCATGAATTATAGCCAACACAGCTGTTATTTAAAACAGCCATCAGTGCAACAGGATGCTGGGGAATCCTTCACAATCCTCCTCCTGGAGGGGCGGAGGGGCAGGGGGGCCGTGGGAGCCGCGAGGGAACAAGATTCACGTCAGAGGAGGTACATCAAGGTTTGTATTCTGTTTTCTCTGAGTGTATAGCTGACATTTTCTAAACTGAAAAGTTTTTTTAAAAAAAGAATGACCATTTCAACACAGAATACTAAGACATAAATTTTCTTGGTCCTCCAGTTTCACCTTTTAACAAATGGCGAACGAGAGAAAGCACAGGCTGGGGAGACGTCCCACGTCCTACCCCTGAAGGCCCATCCCTCCTACCGTTTCTGCCTCACAATCCTCGAGTGTGACTCCGGGCGGCCGGTCCACCTCAACCCCACACTGCAACGCACGTGTCCAGACGGACACGCACCACGGAGGCCCCACTGGCTCCCGCTTCTCCAACAAGAAGGGCCGCGGCCAGGTGGCGGCCACCCCCTTTCCCTGCACCTCCAGTCACAGGATGACTCAGGGCCCACCCAGGGTGACAGGTGACTGCAGGATCCTCCTCCGACGCCCCCTTTTGTGCAAGACGAGAGAGTGCGAGAGGATGCTTCCCCGTGCTGGGCACCTGCCCCAGCGCTCTACAGAAACCCACCCATTTGATCCTCGACACGTGTCCCCATCCTACAGCTGAGCACTCGAGGCTGGGTGGGCCGGTGCATTCCACGGCCCCTGCAGCTTCCCGTGCTCGCTGCGCATGTGCAGCAGCGTCTCGGCGGGACCTCCTGAGACCTGCTGCTGTGCTGTAGTCAAGAACACTTGAGAGTCCCGGGGAGCGGGGGGACCCTGTGCCCGGCGGAGCCTCGGACCAGCAGCCTGATGGGCGCTCGAGGCGAAGACTCCACGAGGGGAGGAAGCATCAGGCCCCCAGGCCTCTTGCTCGCTCTGGGGCGGGGGCCACCCAAGAACAGTGTCGAGGCACACAAAGCCCAGGCAGGCCAGGTGGCATTGGTGCTGGGGCCGTGACTGGGCGCGGGGACTGTGAGCCGGCGTGGGGGCACAGATGAGGAGCTGGGCTGGGGAAGATCGGCCTCGAGCGGCCCCTCCTGCCTTGGGGCCCCATTCCTCCCAGGACACCACCCACACCGGGCTGGCTGCACACCGGGCCTGGTGCCCTTGCGCACCGCCCACCTCTCGAGCTCCTCTGAGGCTGTCAACGGCGAGCTCTCCGTCCCCTCTCTCTGAGCTGTCTGCCGGGCAGCCTCTCCCGCAGCGTCGCCAGCTTGGTAAGGAGTCTGTCAGCGGCCCCCGCTGGCTCCTCTCCCCGAGCCTGACGTCTGGGCTCCTTCCTCCACGCTGCCGCACGCATCAGTGCTTCGCCCTGTTTCCACTGTGCATATGGACCACGTCATGTCTACCCGTTCACAGTGGACGGGCACTTTCAGGCTCTCTGAATCATGGTGCACGGACACGCTGCCCTGGACAGGTGTCTGTGTGGACGGGTGTCTTCACTTCTCTTGGGTTTCCTCGCTAGCTCAGCACGTTTACTGAAACACCACGCACACAGGTCTGACCCGAAGCAGTATTGATACCCCGAGGCCCAAAGCAACAGCTGTCCCCTGGGAGCAGCGGGGCACAGGGCTCCTACCACCCTGCCCCAGAGACACGCAGAGGTCACTGTGGCAGCCCCGAAGAGAACCCAGACCTGCCCACGAAGGGAGTGGTCACCACAAGCTTCAGAGCGAGTCTGTCCAGCCGCTGCCCCAGCCCCGCACAGGCCCAGTGCTCCACGAAGCACAAGGAGTCCCCCGCCAGCCATTATCTGACCAACAGCCACAACCTCGAGAACCTGCCCAGCCGGCCACCTGGCGGCAGGATTTGATGGTCCCCCTGCTGCGCCGTCCAAAGAGTGGCCGCCTCCCCACGGACCAGGGTGGCGAGCACGGACAAGCAAGCACGGACAGCGGACTCCTGCTCCAAGTGCCCGCACACTGACCTCGCACCTCCATTTAACACGTCACCCCGGACCACACCCTGCCCAGGCCCAAGACCCTCGGCCGTCCCCAGCACCGGCTTCCAGGGAAAGGAGCAATTCCAGCGTTCACTCCGCCACAGGACACTTAATGAATATTTTATGATCGAGCGTCGGAACAATGGAACAAGCGCCACCATATCCTTCCAACAGGCTTCAGATGACTAAATCCTCTCGGAGATCCTCCATTCCCGGCCCTGCACCTGGATGGCCCCCTCCTGCATCCTGAACCATGACTGTTAATGATTTAAAAGCAAAGAACAAAACACAACCCCAAGTGTCAGAGAGGCCGGCCCGCACACACAGAGGGTGGGACGTGAAGTGGGGCAGCCGCTGCGCACAACAGCCTGGCAGCTCCTCCACAGGGTAAACAGCGTCCTGCTCTGGGGTGTCCACCCAAGAACGCCTAACACAGGTGTCCAAACGTACACCGGGACCTGGGTGCCCGTAGCAGCACGAGTCATGACAGCCCCGAAGTGGAAACCACCGAAGTGCACGTCAGGTGGAGGACAAACACCACGTGCTCCACCTGCATGTCCCAGTTTTCTAGACGCCCCAGGGCCCCCCAGCTCTCAGGAGGGCTGGGCAGAGTCCACTCCCGGGAATGTCTGAGTAGCTCCTATGAGACCAAGCCTCCCACAAGTCCTGTTTTAAAACAACTTTCTGGAAGCACTGGAGAATGAGCAGAAGTGTTGGGTGGGTGTCCAGTGTCCTGTGGGTTTTTTCTTGAGCAGCAGGCAGAGTAGCTGAGACTAAGACAGGAGACCTGCGTCCAACCAGCTTCAAGAACCAGAGAGCAGAGACTGGGGTGAACACAGCCGCTGGAAAGCTTGGAGGGAAATCCCAGAGAGAAACGGGGTCCCCACACTCTGCGTATAAACAGCCCAAATCTCCAGCTGACCCCAGAATTAGGCAAGCCGGGCACACTCCCCATGGCCCAGCTAAAGCTAAAAGAAATGACCAATTTCAGCTGTATCCTGCCCACTGCAAGAGAGGCAGAGCTGGAGTTTCAGACAGGCTAACTGCCCCCAAAACAAACCCCCTCCCCCTACAAAATCAACAGTTCTCAGACAACATAACAGAATCCAGATTTTCCACAATGTACCACTAGCAACACCCAGAATACAATGCAAAATTATCCAAAATAAGACACAAAAAAGGGCTGGCCCCGTGGCTTGGCGGTTAAGTGTGCGCGCTCTCCTGCTGGCGGCCAGGGTTCGGTTCCCGGGCGAGCACCGACGTACCGCTTCTCCGGCCATGCTGAGGTCACGTCCCATGTACAGCAACTAGAAGGATGTGCATCTATGATATACAACTATCTACTGGGGCTTTGGGGGGGGGGGATAAATTAATTAATTAAAAAAAGAAACAAAAAAAATAACCTCTATTCAAGAACAACAGACAACCATCGAAGACTGGCCCCGAGATAACCCAGATGATGGGATTAACATACAAAGATTTCAATTCAGCAGCTGTAACCATGCTCTCACAGACCAAAAAGAAAATACGCTCATAATGAATAAAAAGAGAGGAAATCTCAGCGGCGAGAGGAAAGTGATAGAAAATAACCAAATAGAATTCTAGAATTCGAAAAATAATTTTTGGAATAAAACATTCGCTGGATGGACTAACAGCATGTTGGAGATGAGGAGAGAAAGTCAGTGAACTTGAAGGTAGAACAACAGAAATCATCCAGCCTGGAGGAGAGGTTTGAAAACAAACGAACAGAGCCTCAAGGACCAGGACACGTCAAAGACGCGACACACGTGTAACTGGGGTTCCGGGGAAGGAGAGGATGGGACAGAGAACATATTTGAGAAACTAATGGCTGAAACATTCCCAAATGTGGGGAAAGACATAAATTTACAGGTTCGAGAAGCTCAGCACCCCCAACAGGAGCTATAAAGGAAACCACACACAGACACACGAGAGCCCAACGGCCAAAACATGAAAATAAGGAGAAAATCTTAACAGTGGCCAGAGGAAAATGTCACGCTACACACACAGACAGCAGGGATTGGAGCGGCGGCCGACTTGTCACCAGAAACAATGGAGGCTGCGAGACGGTGGGAGAAACTACCCACCCAGAATGCTCTCTATCCACAGAAAACAGCCCTGAAGAAGGAAGGCAGAACAACAGACCCCGATGACACCTCTCCCTGCACCTCAGAGCACCTACCAGGGAGGACAAATGAGACCCCCAGGAAAGTGGCTGACCTTCAGGAAGACCCTTTTATACCTTTAGTTTTTAGGTATAAAACAGGGGCTCAGGTTCACAGTTCCTACACACAGGAAAAGGGTGGAAAGAGTCATAAAAGGTTGAAAATAATCTGTTTCACACTCACTGGGGAGTGCTTAAATATTTATCTCAAACAGTCATATGGAATGGGGGAGAGAGATTATATTAATCTCTTATTTACACACAGCACTGCTAACAAACAGTATTTATTCCCCATTTTGCAAGAAGGAAAAAAAACTGGTCTGGGTACACTGAAATGATCTACACCTACAAAATTACATTAAAAACATAAATTATAAACATCTTAAGGTCTAAAGTATAAATGGCTACATATCATTGACACTCTACTTTTAAAAAAAGCAATCAGACGTGTGAGC